CTCCTGGGCTCAAGCGATCCTTCTGCTTCAGCCTCCTGAGTAGCTGGGACTACAGGCATGCGCCACCGCGCCCGGCCAAGGCTGTAGTATTTTTTAGACAACTGAATTTAGATAGCAGGTGCTGGTTCTAATGTAGTTACTCTACCCAGCCTGTAAATTCTAATCCGGTCCATGTAAAAGAAAATCTTTGCATTGGAAACACTGCTTTTAAATAGAACTTCAATGCCCCTTCCTGCCGACTGAGTTATTTGGGGCAACGTCTCTGCTGTCGTCAGACCCGCGTTTTTCTTTGGTTTCGCTGGAAACTGAGTGACAGAGCACCCCGGGGAGTTATCCGTGTAGGGTTAGGCGTTCAGTGTGTCTGCGATCGAGAGATGAGTCAGAGACTGTGGGAGTTTCTTTGGCAGGTGATTTTATTTTCCCCATGGCCGAAGATAATTACTGTGCTGAAGTTCCGTGCAAATATGCTGTTGTAAGGCTTTGAAATTCAGGTTAAGTGGCCTTTCTTTCGTTCTGAATAAAAGCCAGCCGTGGGGAGGAGGTGGAGTGGTGTGTTAGCCCAGAGAGTTGTTTTTGGAAACGTATTACTCTAGATGAACCCAACGTCTATTCAGTGAGACTGAACCTCCCTTTGCTTTTCGTAACAGTTCGTTGTGCGAGGAACACGCCTGCCTTTTTGGCTGAAAGACTGCACCAGGCTTTGAAGGTTGGTCTGGAAATTTTGTACGTACTCTCAGTGTCCCTCGAGGAGGACGTAAAGATGTTGCTTAATATTGATGGGATGTCACAGTTCTTTTGCACTTTGATGAGTTCTCATGATTAGCTCATTTGTCTACTCATTTTTCTCACAGGTTAATAGTAACCTAATTAACATACAGACAGGTACAGTGAGTGGTGACTAAATTATGTCCCCGACGTAAGTGTGGGCAGTAGAACACCAGCCTCAAATTCAACCCAACAGACCCAGAGCAGGCCGCCTCGCTCGGAATAAACCACGCTGAGTCGCAGCCTTTGCGTGACACTCTGACCCTGTGTTTTCTCGTCTGTCCTCACTGCCGCGTGGTGAGCCCCTGAGTGAGTGGAGCGGCTCTTGCAGATCTTCAGACCCCAGGACGGGGCTTACCCTGGGAGACGCTCCCCTCGATTTCTTTACCGACATTCCCTGTGGTTCCAAGTGTGTCTTTGAAGTTACACCCAGAGCGGACACATCCTTTCCTTCTCCCCCAGCCCCGAGCCTCCTCTCCCGTGTCTGGTCATCTCGGTGGCCCCAGCGGGAACTGGCCTGGCCCAGCTCCCTGCAGTCGTGGGTTCTTCCCCAGCTCTGGTCACTGTGCCTCAGCCTCCTCAGCCTTCTCGCCGTTCCTCGACTGTGGCGGGTCTGTTCCCACATCCCCATGTTGCCCTCTCTGCCTGGAACCTTCCTCCTGACTCCTCCTCATCCTCCAGCTGTCGGCCCAAGCGTCCCCTCCCGCGAGGTCTCCCCCGACTACGCTACGCCGATTGTCATCCCTCTCCGTCCCGTCTCCCCGCTTTATGTTCCCAACATAAAACCCCTATATGGTGGTTCCCAACCATTCGCTGAAGCGACGGATCAGTTTGCCGTCTGTCTCCGTCTGCCAGGACGTCCGCTCCACGCGGACAGGGGTGCGATCTGTGTTGTTCGCCACGGACGCGCAGAACACGGACAGTGCCTGGCGTACGGCAGATGCCCAGTGAGCAATTGTCTCGTAAATAGATAAATGACAGAGTCAACATCCACCTCACTGCTCTGCTAGAAATTTTACCCTCTCCCTCGTCATCCTCAAATGCTACTTCGTTCCATTTTTTCACTCCGCCTACGTAAGCATCTCTTACATCTTCTCTCTTTCTCCGTCCCTGCCGCCACTATTCTAGTTCAGCCCATCATCCTCTCTCCGCTTTGTCACTACGATCGCCTCGGGATGGTCCCAAAGCCTCTAGTCCTGGTCCCTCATCTTCATCCTCCTCCTGCCCTGCGCTCTGCTTGCCACGTTGCGGCCAAAATGATTCCATCCAACCACAAATCTGATCTGATCTCAGCGGCCTCACGTTTAAAATATCGCAGCAGTTCTCCACCCTGGGATGCAGTCAGAGTTTCATTTCATGGTTAACAAGATCCGGCCTTTCCATATGCATCTCTTGCTGTCCCTCTTGATTGTTTATGTATCTTGACTGTGGAGTTCTTTCCTGCCCTGAACCTTCCCACATGCTGTTCCCTCTCTTGGAACATTCTCTCCTCTTTATATGAACCCACCGCTTCTTCCCGCGGTTGACCGTTTAGGGCTCAGCTTAAATGTCACTTTCTTAGATCCTTCCTTTTCTTTTTTTTTTTTTGAGACAGAGTCTC